AAAAATGTATCGTGTATCCAATACGTAAATATGTACGTACATGTAGTTCCGTTTTATACTTTACATTTGCATCTAAATTCATCCCCTAATTTAGTCCGAATTATTCTGACGTTTTATCGACTTTTTTTTATATCGGTCTCTCGTCGATTAACGTCAGAACACCGGCCGTCTATAATATGCGGGAAATAAGCGACCCGCGCCAGGGTCGCTCATCAAACTGATATTTTATAAACAAATCGTCACTTTCACATACATGTCGCACATATATCGTTACGAACAGTATTTTCCAGCTTTTTCTATACCAGCCCATGTTTTTTTTTGGGGAAAAGGGCATGAGCAATGTCACATGATTTGACGAGATCTCGCGTCACCGAAGGTATTTCCCAAAGTTATGACGTAGGCCGTCGAGATTTTGGTCACATGGCATTAGAAGGCGGGGCTATCAAAAACGTAATGTAAAACAGAGTTAGTTTGAAAAAAATATGTTTTTAGTGATTGTATTGGTTATTTCAGGCATGTAATTTATGTTCATCTTGTGCAAAAAGACATGTGTGTGAAAGTGACGATTTGTTTCTTATATATCAGTTTGAAGAGCGACCGGGGCGCGGGTCGCTTACATATTTCCCGCATATTATAGAGAGCCGGAGTTCTGACGTTAATCGACGACAGACCGATATAAAAGAAGTCGATAAAACGTCAGAATAATTCGGCCTACTCCTATGTGTGCCAAAATATATATTGTGTCCGCACTTTCGATCATAGAGAATAGAAGGAGAATAAATTCGCTGTCCATTTACAAGTAAGTACATTGGAACTATGTAATATCGTTTAATTTTCATTTTTTGTCAAGAACAATGTCAAGACAACACCCAAACTTTGAAATTGGTTTGGTTTGGTTTAATATGGTTTAACGTCCTATCAACAGCTATGGTCATTTAAGGACGGCCTCCCTCGTGTGCAAGATGCGTGCGTGTTATTTATGCGTGTATGTTTTGGGAGGCTGCGATATGTTCGTGTTTGTCTCCCTTTGATAGAGCGGAACTGATGCCGACTTTATAGTGCTACCTCACTGAAACATACTGCCGAAGACACCCAGCAGGACACCCCGAATGCTGTCGTTAGAAAATCGGATATTAGTAGGAAACTAAATTAACATCTTCAAGTGACCTAGTTTATAAACTTTCGGAAAACATTAGAAAAAATGAGTTTATACGTTTATTTTGATGAAATACATGTACAAGCAAAAATTAATGATGCTATTGCAGTTCACACAATTCATGTATTCGTAATGACAATCAGACTCTCAATTACCACTGATTTCCCCATTGCTTAATATTTTAGCGTGTAATAAACGATTTGGTCTTGCATGTATATGTATACATGGATGATTCCTGTATTCATCTGTTATAAGTACATCTCGTATGTATATAATTTATTGGGTATACGTATTTTATATAGGTTTTACATGTGTCTGTATACGCCTTGTAAATTCTTAACGTATACGAGGAGATATTAACCATACTCCCTGAACAAATTGCGCATTACAATTATGTGTTTTCCAAGAAAGGATGAATCTGTTTGATTATATTTATTTCATTTCAGAAGGCCGTTTAAACATTATAACGTCTGTATTCCTGATACGGGCCGATGACCCCGTCGTCCATGTTGACAGTTGTGAGCTTAGACACAAAGATGCTCTTCTTCCGCCGCGATAACGCGTAAACGCTATCTCGCTAGCTTGTATTACTGTAATTGAAAGAGAAGCGTTTTTTTCTGTTAATTAATCTATTCAATAATATCAATATTTTATGAGTTTGATAACATTTGTAGATGTTTTGGATCCTTCCTTGCACACTTAGGCAAGATTTGGATACTTTTAAAAATAACAGTCTGTCCGTGGGAGGGCCAGATATCTAAAGTTGAACATGCCTCGACCTGACGAGACTATCTTACGTTCGACCTCCGCTGGTCTATATCACATAGGCACTGCGCAATTACTCACCCGGGAACATCCTACATTGTATATGTTGTTTTCATGGTCTATCATCAAGATAGAAGAATGATTATTGGAATCTGTTTAATGTAATGCGGACTTATGTCACTCACTAGAGACATAATTCTAGTTTATTTGTCGTACTTCACGTTTTGCAATGTTGGTAATTCCAGATATCATGGAAAACCCCGTGTACCCACATACCACGGGCGGCTGGTACTTGTGTATATACTTATGAAGACCTAAGGGGGCATAGCGAGGGTAATTTCTATACTTATTTCGGAGATATGCCAGTCAGACGCCATTAACTGTTCGCTTATTGCATAGATCGATATATCAACCATCATTCGCTAAAAAAATATACAAATACCTCGGACAGACTTCCGTTAGTAGGGTAACGTTAATTTGATTTCGCTTAATAGACAGACAAGTCAGTTAGAATTCGCACAATGCTTGACAAAAGAATACGTCCGTCAGACTTCCTTTTGAAGATGTACGTCAACTTGACCTCACTTAACAGACAAACAAGTCAGTCATACTTCGCTTAAGGAGGGATCCCTGTCCCTATGTTTTTTGTTCGTATATATCGTAATCTCCCTTAATTTTGTTTTGGATAAATTGTGGCCAGGGAACTTCTATTCATTAGGTACGTGTAATAGTGTAGCTCAGTTGGTTAGCGAGAGTATATCGATCTGAGATCTAGGGTTAGAATCCTCCTCGTGCAGCCCCGCTGCATTTTAACACCAAGAACACTGTTGTTGGTTATATTTTGTTAATTTGATTTTTATAAAAAAAATTCACAAATGGCTGGCAATGTATTTTGTTCAGGTATGATTTATCAAAGCTGTAATCATCCAGAGAAACACAGTTGCCAGTGTATTATTGACAGTTTTTGGCAGTGGGACAGGGATACACAATAGTGACATACACCAATCAGATTTTGCTTACGATAGAGAGGTGTCAGTAATGGTCCGCGTTCATGTTATACTGTATAGCGGTTATATTTCGCGGGGTTTTAATTTCGCTATATTCGCGCTTTGAATAATATCTGCGTATTCTAAACACCAGCGAAATTATCGAAAATGTTAACCACTTTTATGGACCTTATTACAACATGTTGAAAATACTTATAACCTAACACTGCGATGCAAGCTTAAATAAACTCAAATCAGATTATCGACAGACAATCTATGTAAAAACAACACTTACATATATAGAAGTGGCCACAACATATTTATGTGTACGCAGAATGTGATGAATTGACTACAGTTTACTCCTACAAAGTTACACACACATTTGATTTTCTTTCTTGTGAAGTTACTGGCGGATGACGACGCTCGGGACCAGTGTTTTCAAAAGCGGTTTACCTGTATTTTGAGGTTTAACACTTAAATGTTGACACTCAAAATACTTTGCACGACACATGGGATTCCGGCCGGTGTACAGCGAAATTTAACCCCCAGCGAATATGTACTGAATACGAAACCACGAAATATTAACCCTGCGAATTTAAAGCGCTATACAGAACTACATGCGATCATGACGCCTCATTCACGTTACTTTCTTTTTACGTAATACACTGACGTAAAAGTTCGCAGTTACATGTACCGTAATCGAACCATTGAACACCCCCTCCCTCCCCGCACGCCTTTAGACAATGGTACATGTACATTTTAATACGGTATGTATATACATGTATGACTGTGTATATATATCATTGAGGGGGGGGGGGGGGGGGCATTTTTGGACAATTTTATCGAAAGTAGATCTACACCTTAATTTAGGTTCAAAAGTAGCTGTAACAAATTCTCAGGTCCCTGTGTCCTGGGTATTTTTTATGTGCACAAGTTTGAGTTAAACGATTCATGAAATGCATTCTTATGTACATGTACTTTTGTATATGGTATCCCGTCGTACCGACCAGCGTCGTTCGGCCTTCGTGTTACCATACCGACCATTTATTTCCTTGTCCTACTTCTAGAAGTTGCATAACATTGACAGGAACCTTGATTGAATTCGACAACAGACTTATCTCTATTTTACGTAGCTGCCAGACCGCACACGTGACCTCGAATGTGACCTCGAGCGTTATTGTGGCAGATACGAGAACAGACCCGCCATTTTCATCTCTTTTAAAGGTCAAGGTCGGCGCACGTTAAAGTCATTACACTACGTGCTTGATAAATAATGACGCAATCTCTTACATCACAATGAAGATTAATTAGAACGTGAAGCTATACAACTACGTAGATATCAGGATCAGAACATCAGTGGTTTGCCGTGGCCTATCTCAGAATATTTTTAAATGTTACATTGACGTCATCAAATGTCATACGTCATACATTCAACATCATTATCATACTTCAAAAGCAAGTTAATGGCTGATCACTATGATATAACTTTCTTTATTTTACCTCTAGTGAAAATTATGTGATCTGATTGGTCGAGTCAAATTGTTCATTTCACACGATCACACTCGCTTTAACATTGACTCAATGGAACGGTGCTTCTCAACACCCTAGCAACGAGTGACAATGTATACGTATACGTACAAATGTATGTGACAGGGTAGAACAGTAAACGCTCAAACTAAGGTAACGCATACGGTTCCTTTCAACCGCCATGCTTTTTTTGGTATGTTATCACTGTCACCCTCGGGTTAGTATTTATATAATAGTATTACCCCGAGCAGTGAATACAGTACAATACATGCGCTGTGAATATAAAAGCACTTGCTAATAATGCTTTTTTTTCATTTTTCATTTCTTACGTCATGAACATGAAATTGTAGTTTTAAATTTTATAGGTTTAACAATAAGAGTTTTTGTTTTTTCAACAGATAGTAAGCATCTAACATTTTCTCACACTGCTTACATGTATTTGAGAATGCTTACAGTCTATATCTACTGGCTTTGTCAGCGACACGGGGACTATTGTCTTATACTCCGACACTGCTGGTTTTTCACTTATTTCGTATCTAAAATGAATAAAGCAGACTATTACCTACCTACCTTTTGAACTCTAAAACAGTTTCATTCTTCCCGATTTCACAGTGCGTCACACCTGAAATATAAAATGTGATAAAAAGCGAAACTTGGATTTCTCTCATACAAAACATTAAACATTTTCCTCAGCGAACACCTTTAACTGCGAATTTATCTAAGCCAACACGTTCAGCATTAACTCACCCTTTTCATTCAAAGACGTTGTATAGAATAGGTAACAGTACGAGGAATAGTAATGGTCAGTCCAATGATAACACGACAATTTGACTCATCGTATTTGAACAGATACTTAAGGTAAACAAATAATTCGTGACATCTTTCTCAATACGAATCGGGGGGG